AAGTTTTAACAATACAAGATGTGAGCGGAAGATACTGCGATAAGAGAAAGTGTTCGCAGGTTTTGAACCTCTGTTACCTAACAATAAGACTTATATGCTACATGTGAAAAATAATGACGGATCGACAAGGAACACATAGAAAGATGAACTGGCTAATTAGTACACATTCACGGATGAAGACGATTGCATAGCAACAGAAACCTAATTAAATCTTTTGCTTGCTGGCATTTAGAAAACTCACTGCTTTATGAAGAGAGATTTTATTTGAAAGAGAAGTCTCGAAGTCTGATAGGGGAAACAATGTTCCAGTGACAAAAAAAGTAATTCAGATGAATTTTCATTTCAAAGTTGACTGGTCTTAATGAGGAGGTTGGTTAAAACTCAGTCACTCGGTACCGAGTCACACTTATCTTGGGATGATTGATGATACCGCCCAATTGCCCAAACTAAACTAGGTGAAATGAGATTCGATCCACGGACCCATTGGCTGAAAGCCGACTGCTTAATCCAATCAGCCACCTCGAACTTCCCATAGATAATATTCATTGAATCATGGAAGAAATGGATATTTATTCGTTGCTCAATGTGTCTTAACAAGCGACATAAATAATCATATTATACGTATACCAGTTGACTTATTTTTTGAAGTCATATGAATCTATGATTCTATTAGAATCCTGTCTAGGTGACAATACACAGACTTCGAAAACCTATTAAGTAACATGAAGTGAGTCTTTAAATTGTGGCCAATTCCAACCAAACTGATGATCGTGAAGTTATCTGTCAAATCACTTCACCTATTATGGCCTTCATAGTGAATCTGAAATACCACTCATTTTCTTATTCTGTCCACCTTCTATGCAACTGAAATACACACATTATTATGCTCTTTCTAACTATATTTCATTTTCTAAATATATCAACACTTTATGCAACTTATTCGGATTTGATAAATATTACTCAGTGACATTTCAATCTGTCAAATTCTACTAATTGGAAAAAGAGAGGCGGTGGCGTCACTACTTTCTTGTGACTGCAGTTTTCTTACAGTGCTAGGTCATGAAAATGTCGTTAACTTTCCTTTCCTACTGGATACTTCTTTTGATCTTGTATTTATAAATGACTCCGGAATATAAGAAGCTCGCAAACGAGCACCACTGTTTAAATATGATTGTTGTTTTGTACGGGTTTTACCCAAAATTTATGGAAAATTACACAAGAGAACCTTTTCACACCTGTCCAAGAAAATTGTATACAGATGTTACTCCGAGGAGAATGTTCAAAATCTTAGAAGCATACTCAAAGACACAAGGTGGGACTTGTTAAATGAAGATTGTATTGATGACACTATCTCAAATTATGTCTCGACATCTGTTGACCCAGAGACACACTCTTCATCAGATCTGACTTTTGCTGGTGGTAAGCAGATAAACAGTATTCTTTATTCATTTGATGTGTGTACACTAAAAAAGTCTTTCATGCATTATCCCACAAATGCCATACCTTCTATTGTCACAAGTGTTAATGAAACCTGCTTCCCTGATTTCAATACAAATGACGTTCTAAAATGTCTCCAGTCGCTGAACCCTTCTTGTAGCCTAGGCCCAGATGGTTTGCCTAGCGTTATTCCTAAACAATGTGCAGATATCCTATTTTATCCTCCCACTGACATATTTAATGAATGTTTTTCCAGAAATGTCATGTCAGCCGTTTGGAAGGACATTAAAATTGTACCTATACCTAAGTCATCTACTGGGACATGTATCAAATTTAGACCTATTGTGTCATCCTCTTACTCAAATCTTTAATGCATCATTTAACAGGGAAACGGTACCTGCTGACTGAAAAGAAATCAAGGTTGTACCTGCACAAAAATCATCTTCTGGAGCAGGTATAAAGTTTAGACCGGTCGCTATAATATCTCCTTTTTTGAAAACTATGGAGAAACTTCTTTTGAATATTCTTAAACCTTCTTTAAAAGCTTTTGGTGACCCTAAGCAGTTTGCTTATAAGTGTGGAAGAAGTACATTAGATGCAGCCATTGTACTACACCACAATATTCCTAGGACACTTTTATTAGGAAAGATGATTTCAGCACAAACAGAGTCCTGGGCAACTAGATGGTTGTCTTCTTATTTTAAGGATAGGAAACAGCATACTGTTTTAGCTGGAAAGCGCTCCACTTCTCAGCTAACTGAAAGTGGTGTGCCTCAAGGTGCAATACTTTCTCCACTTCTTTTCTCTTTCCTTTTGCATAACCTTCCAAACTCACCCAAAGTTAACTTCATTAAGTATGCTGATGATCTGACAGTTTCTGTCCCTGTAGTTTCCACATCGGATTGTTCCTATATGAATGGCTTCTTAGCTGAAGTTAAGGATTGGTCTGGCTCAAATGGTCTTAAACTAAATCCAACTAAATGTAATACTGTTGATTTCAGCTTGAGAAGTGAAAAAGACATGCATGGATTGATCCAATCTCATGATTGTTGTAATACCATGATAAAGAGTAAGTCAAGTGTTTCTTATCTGGGCATTAGTTTCTCTTCAAATCTTTGCTGGTCGTCTCATATTCTTATAGTTTTTAAGAAAGTTTTCCGTCTGACTTATTACATAAAGTTGAGGCACTCAGGTATAACCCAACCTCTTCTCATACAATTTATTAATTCATGTGTTTTGCCCATCATTCATTATTGTTCACCATTATTCTTTCCTGGGCTACTCAAGAAAGACCATATAATACTACGAAGGACATTGAAGGCTGTAAGTAGGGTCAGTGCTATCCCTTTGACTCAACTAACTGACACTGTTGTCAATAGGCATATGAATTCTTGTAAACACTTAGCTAAAGTTATCTTGTCTGATAGTGAACATCCTCTTTATTCACAATTGTTTCTTTGTATCTCTTCGGGTAAGACCAGAAGAAATTTCATAAACATTTATGCTCGTACTACAAAATATAAAAATTCGACCGTACCATATTTGGCACGAGTATTGTGTGAATAGACGAATATCAGAAAAGAACTTTTACGACTTTTAAATCATTAACTAAACTATAAAATGTAATGATGCATATTGATGTATGAGTTATTTGTTATATTATTTATTTATTATTCACTATGACCTAGCAATGGTGTGATTTTGTTGGGGTTTTATTTTTTCCTACTATCAATATTTTAACATTTTATACATTTATATAATTATAAACAGAGCTGAACCATTGCAATATGTAAAAGAAACGCTGAAAATTCCATACTGTAAATTGTTATTGTTGTGGAATAAAGTGATTATTATTATATTATTAAAACCTCTCCTTTTCTAAAAACTATGGAAAAGTTGCTCTTAGTTAATTTTGAGCCTTCACTTAAAGCCTTTAACGATCCCAAACAATTCGCCTACAAACATGGTAGAAGTACTTTAGATGAAGCTGCAGTCTTGCATCATAACATTGTCTCCAGTTTAGACAAAGTGACTAAATTTGCTCGCTGCGCCTTCCTAGATTACACGTCTGCTTTCGACTCAGTACGTAGGGATATTTTGCTAAAGAAGCTTGCTGAAATTCAAACTGCGTGTTGGGTTGTCAACTGACTGCATTCTTATTTCTCAGGAAGAAAGCAGTACACTGTATGTCAGAAGGAGTCGTCCACTTCATTGCTTACTGAGGCTTGCGTCTCCCAAGGCACCGTTCTTTCCTCTTTTCTTTCTTCTTGCATGACTTGCCTCACTCTGATGAAATGAACTTTTTACGTAGGCAGACGATCCAATTATTTCAATGCCTCTTAACTGCCAGCTAGACTGTACTAAGATGAACAGCTTTCTATCAGAAGTCAGCAAAGGGTCTTCGTCTAGTGGTCTTAAAATAAACCCTTCCAAATGTCAGGCTGTTAATTTCAGTTTCCGATGCAAAAGCATGTTAAAGGAAGCTGTTAATTCCTATTGCCGTTGTAAAATTGATGATACTGATACAGAAATATCTTGGATTAATTCGTTCCTCTGACCTATCGTGGCCTTCCCATGTCTTAGCGACTTCTTAAAGAATATTCCGTCTGACTTTTTACTTCAAGAAGTTAAGGTATTCAGTCATAACTTAACCCCTCCTCTTACAGTTCGTCAACTTGTGCATCTTATCTATTCTTCTTTACTGTTCATCCTTATTCATTCGTGGATTGCATAAAAAAGACTACGTCATACTTCATAGAACTCTGAAGACTGTCAGTAGGGCGAGTGGTATTCCATTGGGCCATATCGTTGACATCGTCATCGATAGGTACTTGATTTCATAAGGAATTTTTCAGACTGTGAACATCCACTTTACCTGCAACTCTCACCGTAAACAGAGATAAGTTTAGCCGTTTGGTAAGTTGCAGCAAGGGCTACTCTTAGTCTTTTCATGATTTTTTGTGAAACGTCATTTCTTCTGAAAGTTAACTGGAATAATACTGGCCTTTTCTCGATTACAGAGACGTTCTCTTTATCACCATAATTTTTTCCATACTGATACATGAGTTTCTTCGAAAAACCGTTTACAAACTAAGGCTTTTTAAGGAAGTTGAACTCCTTGTGCAGTTTATCTTCGGAGTTGAGTTTTCACGCTTCCTCAAATAGAAACCTGAACAATCCCTGTTTGTATCTCATTGGACAAAAACTAGATTAGTTTAAGTACTGTCCAGTCGACGTTTTCTTACAGAATATTTTCCTCTTGATTATCAGGTTTCCTTGCAAATAATCTCGAATATCTCTTTAAGTAGGACGTCGATGAATAAGTAGGATATATCAAAGGAAAACAAGAATCAGTTGGAAATGTTTAAACCACTCAGCAAATCAAAACTTCCTTTAGTCTGCGTACAATATATTACAAATTGGTTCCAGCTCCGATAAAGCTAACTGCTTGATGGAAACAAAACACAGAATTATGGTTTTTTTAAACAGTTTGGTCTAAGATCTGTTCTAGTATAACTGGACAGATTATGTTTGAGCTCTATGACTAACAAAACTCTGCTTACCTCTCCATCTGATGGACAATGAGAATCAAAGTCTGAATTTGAACTGCACTGATGCCATTCTGCTGATGACATATGCTGTGGATACACAACTTCATTTAACTTTGAAATGGATGATCTCTTACGCTCAAAACCTTGGACGGGAAGAGGAAGATTAGGCGAGTATGATGACGATGATGAAGGTGAAAGAGATGAATTTTGACTAGTGATATCGTTGGCCGTCGAGATAGCTTCTATCGATTTGCACAGATTGGAAACATCAGAATGTAGCCGAACTAGTTGACACTGACACGCTTTTCGAGATACCAATACAGATTGACTCACTCTCTCTAGCAATCGTCTTATTGCCTATGAACAAAACAATGTAAGTTAGCACATTAAACAACATGGATATAGAAAACGGAAACTGAAACTTTCATAAAATTCAATGTTCAATTGAAGCTAATCCCAAACATTGACACACAAAACTTAATAGGTTGACAGTGATGGGCTTAACACGTCAGACCAAATCCTTCAATTTAACAATTAGTGGTACTTAACAATTTTATGTAATTGATTATAAAATACTACTTGAATTCATTAAAAAACGATAACACAGAAAGAGGGTCAATCATCATTAATGTTGTTATAGCAAGTAGAGTAATAAACCGGTGTGGATTTACTAATAAAGAAGCTCGCTAGTAAAATGAAGACAAAACATTATCCATTATCAACATCAGCAACGCAATTAAACGATCTTAAAGTTTCAAAATATTCCCATATCATGCGTTAGAAGTTCGCCTGATAGAAGAAGAATGTTCTCAGTGAATTCTCTTCAATTTCTTCCAGTTATAAAATATTTCTTAACCCAACAATAGTCAGGTATGCTGTAGATACATCTGTACGTTGAATAACATTAGATTTAGGTTACAGGGTGGAAAAATAAATAGTACTTATGTAACAAACATGGTGAGTTGAATGCAGATACAAAGTCGTGTGGGATAGATAACAATTACTAATAATGGATTAATACAATATGGAGAAGGAAAGTTTGTGGGTTAGTTCAAGGTTGTAAAATGTGTTTGGTGAGCCACTGGTACAAGGATAGTACGCACTAAACAGAAAATAGTAAAACTGAGGTGGATAGTTCATCCTGAAATAATTAATATAAGAAATCAATGAAATGAAGTTATATAATGAGAAAAAAATTAATATCGCTAATAATAAGTCAGAAAAGCATGTTAGCGTTTGTATGCATGGAAAATTCGAGTGTTTGAAGAATGCTAGAATGAAGGATATGAATTATACAGACATTGCGGCTAAACGTGTCTAGACAAACAGAAAAAAAGAAGAAAGAGGTTATAAACAAGGAAAATAAGAGGAACCTTTGGAGGGAAGAATAATTTTTAATTCAAGGATGGCTACGATAGAAACAACGTTTGAACGTGTTTCTCTTGATAGCAGGGTTCTGGATTAATCGATCTTATCGCAACCACAGAAACAATTAATACAGTTTATGCATGAAAAGGAGTTGATATTAGATACAAACATTTTTCAGTTTCAGGGTGAACATTGGGAAGCTAATGCAGGATAGGAACAAGTGTCCAGAGTAGAATGTTCTCTTCATCGTTCCGGTTAGACACTGGGATAGAATCTCCGTAGGAGTATCTCTCTAGAATTTCAGGTGCAAAGGTAATACTTTGCACCTGAAATTCTCTGGATGTCCGTTCTCACCAAAAATATTCTACACAACCTTTGAAGCAAACTGACCTCGCTCTCACTGCTGAACATTTAATCAAACTCCACTTATATTTCTTTGGTACAAAGCTGAGAAAATGCGCATACTGAGTTTGCTGTCTAGTTTTCGAAATATGTTTTGTTGTATCCGTCCTGTCTTCTCGTTAGTGAAACATCGAGAAAAAGTAAATAATCGTTGTGCTCTATTGTAAGCGAAATGAACAGCTAGGTGAGAGTTACTGGATCAGCCCGAAATCGAATCATCATATATTCTTTATCAGTGATCATAAAAGTATCATCCATGTAATGATAGTATATTTTCATTTTCTGTATTTCATTTTTCCACTCAATGAATTCCTGAATTTCAATGCAAGGCTGTTTGAGTCAAGAATATTCATCAAATTTACAAAGAATTGTATTCAGCTTAACCAATATGACTGACTGACTGATTTCAACGTCGAACTTTGCACCAATGGGCAGTATTTCGAGTTGCCACACTTCACGTAGCACACAAAGCAAGAGAAGAGAGTAGAGAAAGATTCAAAACAGAGATAATAAAAAGAAATATGAGGCAAAAAGAATAGTAATAAGGAAGAACAATACAGTTTTATTGAATATTATAAATCACAAGAAGTGGATGCATCTGCGCCATTGAGAACGATTTTGAACCACATCACCAATTATCTCCAGCCATTGGTTTTTACCATCTCTAGGACCCCAATCAGACAGCAGTCTATACCTTCTTTCGTGAATGGCTTAAACTAACTGTTGTGGATTTCATTGATTAATGCCATGTTTTGATTTGACCACCAGCTGCTCTTTTCCAACCTGATCCTATGTCAGTTAACATTGCCCGTCGAGTAAGGCGATGGCTAGGCATACGTAACACATGTCCTAACCATCTCAGTCAGTGTAACTTCACAGCCTCGTCTATTGGTTTCCCCTCTTTACCTAACACTCGACGCCTAATCTCAATATTGCTCACCCTATTATACCACTCCGCATGGGAGATAGAACACAGACACCTATGATCAAAGACAGCTAACTTTTTTACGTCTTCCACTTCCAATACCCAGGCCTCACAGTCATAAAGGAGGAAGGAGTGGCTTAACCAGTAGCCTAAACTTTACTGAGAAGCGGGAAGATGTTAAAACAATATGCACTTAATCAGCTTGAATCATTTCTGTATAATATCGTACAACTGGAAATAAACATATAGCAATGGAGAATGGACTTATTGACCTTCCCGAAAACTGAGACTTCAATTTGTCAAAAATATCAAATTCTGCAAAAAGGCGAACACAGTTGATCAAAGGCTAGGAAGGATGAACACCACAAAGTAAATGATACGTATCTAGGATAGTAAACCGCACATGTGTGAAATGGTATTGCTTACAGGTTTCAAGTCTTCGTATGATGTCGGCGAGATACAGCCTTTTTTCATTTAATTTACATAGTAAGGTGATGACATACTTTTTTACTTTCGCACTCTGATCTTTTATTGATTCCGGTTTGTGAGACTTGCTACCATCCTCCAGTATATAATTCATTTTGCTTATATAATCGAACCTGTCCATTATTACCATTCTAGTCCTTTTATCCGGCCCACTAATGACTGTTACGATTTAGTCTTAGCCTTTTGATAGCCTGCCGAGGCTCTTTAGCAAGCGTAATAAGGCATCGTTTGATTATTGTCTATTCTGATAGTAGTCTCCTAATAGTGATAATGAATTTCTCTAGATAAGAAACAAATGTTAGTTTAAAAAGCATTACATATAGACCAAAACATACCAATCGTAAGACACGTTTGGGAGGAAATTCATTGTCTTCATCATCAGTATGCGATGAATCTGATGATGAACTTTGAGAAGAGTATATTGTAGAGGATAAATTATTATCCGTTGATGAAATGAGTGGACTTTGATCAGAAACAGATGAGTCTATTTTTTGGACATGATAATTGTCAGAAGGTATATGATCACGTTGAACAATTAGTGACCTATTCAGCTGTTGACATCTGAATGATTTCAACTGAGAATTATTTAAATTATCAGGTAAACGAAAATGACGTAGCTGGAGAAATATAAAAAGTATACAATATCCATTATTTTAAGTACATGAAACATAATGAAAAACAGTTTTGTCTAACTAGACAGAAATACACAGAAGCGACACATCGACGATGCACGTTCAGTTACTAGAAGAATCCCAGCTTATTAGCAAATTTTAACAGAATAAGAAAGTAAAATTGTCTCTCACCGTTTATGGATCAATTATTTGTATTTTATTGCCCTATTTGATAGTTACACAGGCAACTCAAACTAAAGTCAACCGATAGAAATGTGTATTAAGTCGAAAAACTTCTAAATAATTGAATTTTTAGGTCAACAAAGTGTATTTGATAAATTTAAAGGAGTTAAAAGAAATGCGAAGAAGTAATCGTAGAAACAGTAAGAGATTAAGACAGATAATAGACAGAAAATATAACATTTTACGGTATACAGTTAGCTGATTAAATGGACGATTTGATAGCCTATAAAATACACTTGAAATCGTATAAATTTTATTGAATATAATGTAGTATGTAAAATAAATGACAGTTAGTACTAGAGCATTGTAAGCAACTACTTCTAGTGGTATGCAGAAAGATTCTAACACTTTTAAATCAAAAAATTACAATTGTATCTAGTTCTATGCTCTTCTACATTTGATCCTGGGAATTTAAATATATATCAAGAGTGTTAGTGGTAGTACTTTTTGATTTTTAGAGTCAAAGAGTTACGAAGCTCGAAAGTATAATATTAATGTAGAAAAAGGTAAGAATACAAATAGTCCCACATTAATAAACTATTACACAAGAATCCAATAGACTTATCTTTGTTATCATTTCTAAGATGTGTTATAATAAATACGAAGGAAAATAACAGTTTTTAGGGGAAAATCATTCCCAATGATTGAAATGTGTCGGTTTACTGGGATACCTCCCCTTAAATATGCATTCATCAGTTGAGCAAATCATTAACGAAGTCTTGAATTGCATAATTAAATGGTACAAAGCTACTCACGGATCATGTGACTGACAAAGATTAAAGATATGTCTTGCTACCAACAAAAATGAGGTTAATCAAAAACCTTTCTTCAATTACCATCAGCTGATCAAAATGATATAGACTGCACCAGGATGTCAAGTCAGGTGACCGTAGCTGGGTGACTGCATTACGATTTTCATAGCGAACTGTCAATTCGAGATTATTTTATCCGTTTCCGACTTCAGACAACCTTTACAACATAGCTGGGGAATGAATATCTACGCATCAATAGGGTGGGTACTGGGTGTCAGACAAGTGAAGTGTAGTAGGCAAATTTACTTTACAACACAATATGGTTATAATATGCATTATAAAGGGCTATTTAACATTACTTCATATTGCAGACATGAATAGACGACTAATTGATAGGTTGCAGACGGACTCTGAGTAGAAGTGTGTCAGCTCAAGAAGCCACACGTCAGTAACGCATACAAAATAAAGGAATAAAAACGGATTAGTAAGACAATACATAAACATGGATATGACAAAGCAAATAATTAATTGAAGATTAGTGAAACTTTTCATGATTTGTAATTGTTAAAGACAGAATACATTGTATAGGACCTTAAGTCATCTTGACAGACATCTTACAGTCTAAAAAAACCCCAGCTCGGTAATCAACATACCGCTACATGACTTAGTTCAACAGTCGATAACTTCATCGACTAATACTATGTTATGGTGTGCTAAATCAGCTAGCATTACTTGTCAATGAGTGCTGATTTGGAGTGCATAGAAAAGAACAGAAGAGACAGAGAAGAAAGTACAGTCAACAACAATATGAGGATAATAAAACCAGCAATAAAGAGGGTTGATAGTCATCAAAATGAGCTCAATCGTATTCTAAGTCTATGGGGCACTGTTTGAGTACATTTCTTCAATAACACCAATGGAAAACAACATAATTATTGGTAACAAGTAACATTGTGTACATGCCATTATGACTTTAGTTTACGTTATGTACTAATAACCCTTGTGGTTTAAAAGGGGAAATAACCGCTAGAAAAGACTAACTAATCTATCAGTACACCTACTATGATATGACTTACCCTTGTCTTGTAGGAATTCATGACAGTAAAAATTAGTTCAGATACTCAAAATGAGATGCATGCGAATGTACATTTCAATGGTTTGAAGATGTCTATATGCCTTAACAACCTCGCCTAGATTACTAGGTCACTAGTATTCTAGCCGGTCCCAAGCCCGGATAAAGAGGGAGGGTTGGGGCGTGGTGCTAGCAACTCCACCCCCAAAACTTAACCAAATTGCTACTAAAACTTCAACGCACAAATATATTCAAAATTCTAAAATTACAAATAGTGACCTTATTTTTCGCTGGAATCGGGGAAGTGAAATGACGCGGGCTGGTGAAAGCCTTCGGGAAGCCAGTCAGCCGATGTGCCTTCTTTCGATGAAAGCGAAAATAAGGATGGGGACGTGGAATGTTCGTACAATGTACGAAGCTGGGAAGGCTGCTCAGGTAGCCGCAGAAATGAGGAGATATAGAATAGAAGTGTTGGGAATCTGCGAGAGCAGATGGAACGGATGTGGAAGGAGCCAACTATCAACTGGAGAGACAATAATCTACTCCGGTCACCCAGAGGACAATCACGAGCACACCGAGGGAGTAGCCATCATGATGTCACCAACAGCGGCTAAAGCTCTCATGCAGTGGGAACCAATCTCCTCCAGGATAATGACAGCCAGGTTCAACTCAAAAGGAAAAAAGGTTACAATCATTCAGTGCTACGCGCCTACAAACGCCTCAGAACATGAGAAGAAGGAGGATTTCTACAGTCAACTACAAACAGTAATGGACAACGTCCCAAAGAGCGATATCAAAATCCTGATGGGCGACATGAATGCGAAACTGGGAGGAGACAATACAGGAAGAGAACTCACCATGGGTCGTGAGGCCCTCGGTGAAATGAACGAAAATGGTGAACTCTTCTCAGACTTCTGCGCCTTCAATGATTTGGTGATTGGTGGCAGTGTGTTCAAACACAGGGATATACACAAGGCAACATGGATTTCACCAGATGGACACACCAAAAACCAGATAGACTTCATTTCAATCTCAAGGAAGTGGAGACGGAGCCTACTGGACACAAGATCGAGGAGAGGAGCAGATGTGGGTTCAGACCACTATCTGGTACAAGGGACTTTCAAGGTGAAGCTGAAAGCCTCGAGGATACCTGGGGATAGGCCACAATGCAAGTTCAACACTCACAAACTGAAGGACACAATCACACAGGACATTTTCACTGCAACTGTCAGAGCAAAGCAGGAAACACTACGAGGCACCACTGAGGAATCATCCGTGGAAGACCATTGGAACTCTCTGAAGGTAATTTTCAACGAAACGTGCTCAACGGTTTTAGGAAGAAAGAAGAAACAAGACAAGGAATGGCTCTCAACAGACACTTGGAAACTAATAGAGGAGAGGAGAATGGTGAAAGAGAAAATGATTCAATGCAAAGATGGACAAGAGAAAGAGACGCTGAACTCAACTTACACAGCACTGGACAAAGAAGTGAAGAAGAGTGCCAGGAAGGACAAAAGACAATTCTACGACAACCTGGCTACTGAAGCTGAGAAGGCAGCAGGCAAAAGGGACCTGAGGACACTATATCAGATAACCAAGTCTCTATCCGGGAAGAGATCAACACAAGTGAAACCTATAAAAGACAGCCAAGGGAACCCAATTACCAAAGAAGAAAGACAGATTAAACAATGGGCGGACCACTTCAAAGGACTCTTGAACCGACCACCACCTACAACCCGTCCAGTAATACCAACAACAGCACGTACACAACTGCAAGTTGACACCAATCCTCCAACGAAAACTGAAGTCATGAATGCAATCAAGCTTCTGAAAGCTGGAAAAGCAGCTGGACCAGATGGAATACCCCCGGAAGCACTGAAAGCGGACCCAGAGACGACAGCAGATATGCTGACTCCATTATTGCAAAAGATCTGGAAGGAGGGAAAGGTGCCTACTGACTGGAGGAAAGGTTACCTGGTGAAACTACCAAAGAAGGGCGACCTGGGACTCTGCAAGAACTGGCGAGGAATCATGCTCCTGTCGACGCCAAGTAAAATCCTGAGTCGCATCATCCTGGAGAGAATCAAGGACGCACTGGATACAGAACTCCGACCAGAACAAGCTGGATTCAGGAAAGGCAAATCATGTTCTGACCAAATTGCAACTCTACGCATTATCATCGAACAAAGCATGGAATGGCAATCAAATCTCTACCTCAACTTCATAGACTTTGAGAAGGCCTTCGACAGCGTTGACCGCGAAGTAATTTGGAAACTACTCGAGTACTACGGCGTACCGCAAATATTCATCAACCTTATTCAACAACTGTACGACAACGGCACATGTCAAGTGATCCACAACGGAAAGCTCAGCGAAGCGTTTGGAGTAAACACAGGAGTCAGACAAGGGTGCTTATTATCACCAATGATATTCCTAATTGTGGTGGACTGGATTACGCGTCAGACAGTGGGAAACGAGAAGACAGGGATATCCTGGACCGACGTGAAGAACCTAGAAGACCTGGATTTCGCGGATGATTTATGTTTGATGTCACACAAAATCGAAGACTTACAAGCAAAAACCGACAAACTGGTCGAAGAAGCAGCAAAGACAGGACTCCAGGTCAACATAGACAAGACGGAGGTTATGAAAATAACCACCACAACAACAACAGCAGCAACATCCAGTGCCAATCACCATCAACGGAAGGGATTTGAAAGAGGTTACTTCTTTCACTTATCTAGGGAGCATTGTCTCAACCACAGGAGGAACGGACGAGGATGTCAAATCGAGAATCGGGAAGGCGAGAAACACATTCATCAACCTGAAACCAATCTGGAAATCTTCGTCACTCAGCATCAACAACAAAATTCGGATTTTCAATACAAACGTGAAGTCAATTTTGCTTTACGGATCAGAAACTTGGCGGGTCACCAAGAATATTTCCAACAGGTTGCAGACCTTTATCAACAACTGTCTTCGCTCCATACTGAAGATTAGATGGCCGGAAAGAATCACAAACAAGAAGCTATGGGAACAAACGAAACAGGAACCAATCGCTCAACAAATATGCAGGAGAAAGTGGAGATGGATTGGACACTCGCTGAGGAGGCCGTTGAGTGACATCGCGCGTCAAGCCCTCGAGTGGAACCCGAAAGGGAAGCGGCGAGTGGGACGTCCAAGGGTGACATGGAGGAGATCGTGTGAGGAGGAGATGAAACAGTATGGAATAACATGGACGCAAGTGAAAAGAACAGCAGAAGACAGAAGCAAGTGGAGACGTGCAGTTGAAGCCCTATGTTCCACTAGGAACCCAAGGGAACAATAATAATAATAATATGCCTTAACAGAACAAAGTGGATAACGGCCGGTACTAAAGAGCATGAATAGTGATTAGCATCTTCCTTTTTTACCTACTAGTGATTAGAAACTAACGAACTAGTGAGAGGTATAAAACAATATTAACGAGCATGATTCCAACAATTAATAAGCATGAAAAAAGGCGAAAACTATAAATTGACTGACCAATTCTGCTTCTAGTGCAGCTAGGAATTTAGCGGGCAATGCATTCTTTGGACGAGATCGGACATTTGCAACGTCTTCGGCAATTAATTGATCATGTACATCTAAAAGTCGATCCATACTCACCATCGCTGAGAAATATGGCTCGTCAGATGACACAAATGCATTCGTTGAAAGGAGTGAATCTGAAACAATTTGATCGCGAAAGTCAGAAGGCTTGGAAATCCGAGTACTTTTTTCGCGTAACTTTGTCGTTATACGGATATCCTCGCTTTGCACATCCCCCTGACCAGTTGAAGGTGAGAAAGGACAGAAACTAGATCCAATATTGAAACTCTCTGCGTTATCAGAGGATGCAGTAGTGGAAGAGGAAGTAAAAGGTGCTGCAGACATCGTATTGGTTGATAATGTATTTACCTGAGGATCGCCCAAATCATCAAAGCACTTCCTACATATAGGACAGTTAGTGTTCTGTTCAATCCACAAGTATAAACAGGCAGTATGGAAAATATGACCACAAGGAAGTTGGCAGGATTTATTCATTTCCTCCCAGCAAATAGAACAATTTTCTTTGGACTGAAATTAAAATAACAAAATGTGTCCAATATCATGCAGAATATAATTAATCCCAAGAAGTGAAAATGTCGACACACGGGAATATGGAGTATAGTGTATTGGCACTGACAGCAATACCCAGTCATTAAAACTGCAGTTGGTAAGATGAGGTTTTCACTGGTAACTCATCGGCTAAAAGTCAAGTACCCAAGCGACTGAACCATAGTCTCATTCATTGAAGGATGAGTCAAATTGCCAAAGTGATGAACAGAACGTGTGAACGCACAGAATTATAAGAAACTAAAGAAATTTAAGTTTATAAGCTAACTCAATACTGACTTAACAACACATTTGAAATGAAAAGTGGGATTTCACTCAAAATCCAAATGAAAATGAACAGTATCTATTGTGTTACAGCTAATGATAACATCCAGCTGCTAAACGGCAGCAGACTGGCAACACTATGTTTATTGTACTAGTTGAAATCAGACTACCTAATCTAATGAGCCGCAACACAGCGTGAAAACAGAAATGACCGGAAATAAATGCTAGGATACTGTTGAAAGTATGACACAATGGAGTAATGTTTCGTGTTGCTAAGAATTAATGCATGGAGCTTTGTCTACATGCTTTAAAATACCTTACAACAGAGCAGATGCATCTAACCCTTATCACCCACCGGATTCTTAAACCCCACTAATCTTAAATTAATTTTTAACCCTCCTGTACGTCTTCACCTACTGTAGTTTCCCCCACATTTCTTTCTTACTTTCACGTGTTTTAGGAAGTCCACTTCCAGTGCAAGGTTTTACGTTGTTGAGTCAGTCGATTAGTTTCATTTAAGATAAAAATTCTTACTATTTATAGCTTCTTAATACTGTAATTATAACTTCAGGTTGCACTATTGTTTATTATAATTCCATTTGAGAGAACCATCAGAATTCTTTATAACGTTTACTCAATGAAAAAAGATGGTTTAGAAAGAGCGATGGACACCCTATTCAGGAATGGAGAAACGGCTGATTAGTTTAGGGACAAACCACTAAGGATTAGTTGTTAGGTATTACTAGCCATTATATGCGTATAGATTTTTGACGATTCATTTGTTGAGAACTAGACCATTTGCGAAAGCTACCCATAAAGTCACTGATGGAATACATAGTGAAGTAGCAAAATAACATTTTAGTGTCATGAAGAAATTCACCGATGAAAAGTTTTCTTTGAAACTACAAGCTGACTCTACGGTCTCCTGGTTTCAAACTACTGACTAACCTTCATCTTACCGTCCTTTTGGAATTCAAACTATTTTATCTCAGCATGGTGGAATTAATGTCTGTTTTCTGAGGTTATGCACATTAAGATATTACCTTAATTCACTAGTTTTAGGGCAAACTGCGTGACAGCTAAAATATCTATTGGTTGATAGTAAGGTATGAGCATTTTAATACTCGCGATTTCTCAGATGTCATATTAAGTAGAAGTATTAAAACTCTTTCCGACATAATTAGATCAAACATGAGATATATGCAAAATGAATTTACCTAAACAAAGAAAAATTGGTGAGGGAAAATATGGCTATTTAGCTTATAACACCGAGGGAGACTTATAACAACAGCTGGCATTTTTACATGCATATACCTAATTCCAGAACTCATCTCTGGAACTCCAATAATTCAAGTAATATATTAACTCAATTCAATCTACTTTTGCCTTTTGCATCATAGTTACCTGAATGTGATATAATAGAGATGCGAGTATTTTTTTCGACTATGCTAGATAAAAATGTGAATAGACGGCTACTTACTCGTTTCCCTCACTACTGCAAGCAACACAATGTGGTGACCACTAGCTATAATGTACTCGGCAAAAACATTTTTTCACGTGATACTATCCCTACCATATTTTTCTATTGTTTCGACTGAAATCCGATGCTGACTACAATAAACTTCTTTACGTAAAATGCATACCCATTTTAAATAAGCATATTTAAAACAATTTCAGGCATGTTGATGACGTAAATTTCAACCTGAATGAGACTTTACAGCAGATTCCATGGATCCAAAGCAATTAAAGCGTACTTGTGGGACATTTATTGAAATATCACAGTTAAATGAATTGTCAGAAACAACGGTCACAGCCTCAACGTAATTTACCAGGAAAATCACGTCAACACAGATTAGGCGAAAAATACTATTCTCCCCCCTCAAATTTGGTGATCACTCCATTTGCAAACTAATAACCCACAATTCTGAAGAAAGTTGGTACTATATATATATATATATATATATATATATATAGAGAGAGAGAGAGAGAGAGAGAGAGAGAGAGAGGGAGGGAGAGACTATATGTTACCATGAAAATCAAAACTAATCGAAGTCAGATAATTAAGCAAATAACTCGAGTGTGAAAAATAAAAATAAAAACGATCTCAACTGAACAGGAGTTCAGTTCACTCACTTCCAAATGAATAATCCTTGAGTCCAAAACTCGTAATACAGTCCTATAGCGCCTGTGATGCACAATTCGTTTTGACATTTTATAATACAAATGCTGAAGGTGTAGAGCGATTATTATACTGGACATATTAATTTGAAGTTTATTCCAAAATAACATGTGCAGATTGTGTAACAAATCACCAAAGTCAGCGACTGAATCGTAGAGAAGCTCCGTGTAGTACAGAATAACAAATCGGTGGTATAACTTATCTCCATTACTTGGTCGAGAAGCAAGTTCACAGTATACGTAAACCACATACCATGTGATTACATGTACTGTGACTATCATTAACTGAAATACTTCGGCAAGCATGAAGAACATCGTGTGAAGTGAATGCTTCGCACCCACAATAATAGACACAACCATTAAAAAATTACTGAGAAGTAAAAGTAAACAACATAGCAGGAAGATTCTACCCTGATATGTGAAGGAAGAGTCGGAACAGCGGAGAATATATTGCGAACGATCCCTGATTAGACCAGTGAGAAGACGTAAAAAACCAAGAATGGAAAACCAAGTGGCCCAAAGTAAAAGTTCGTGAAGCGCTTCTACATGCAGTATACCATAAATAAAAACCACTTTATAGAAAATAAAACTAGAGAAGTTCTCTCTGATGTGAGAATCTTCTGCACTTCTGAGTTGGCCGAAGAACATATTTTGCAGCTCTCTTGCAACGCATATCAATAAGCAGTACCCGAAGTTTATGACACTCCAAAAGCACCAGCTGTCCTCAAGACAGCTGTTAAGAGCATTAGTGGAAGAATTAGGTGTAGTAGAATTAATAAAGGCACTGGAATCTGCATTCTTGGTTACTTGATAGCACACACGCAAAACTGATCCCAACAGTGACACTGTTGTATAGACAACATATGTCGAAAAGTTCGGTAGTGGAATACGCTCCAGACTCCACACCTGCATGTAAAAAAGTAGCGTCAGTGTTACAAGATGCTGCTCATCTCACATTCAGAATCCAATATCCTTTTCACCAGTGAGTTTAAACAAAAGTCTACCGTCTCCTGTGTGATGCCAAAACTGTTCTTGACTAAACTAAAGTATAGATAGTCAAGCAAACGACCAACCGAGTGACCTGAGACAACCAAGACATTATTTGGACGGAAGAGTTGACAGAAGACGACTTTTCCTAGACAAAACAATTATACAGAAAAGTGTCATCTTAGATCTACTAGAAGTATCACCTCACTTGTCACTGGGATTCTTAGGGTTAGTTCAAACCACCTTCTGTGCATAAAACAATTGAAATGATCCTATACCATGTCACTTCTTGACCTATGTATCACCATAATACTCTTATGGAATCGATGTGTGTTCCATCCTCAGATCAAGTCAGAAGAACAGTGTAGTGTCAGGAATATTTCTGCAAAGCCACTCAAGATCATTTATTTGGTTGGCCGGCTAGAACGGAGGGACACACACGTTGCGGTAGTCTGGTGCACGATTCTTCGTTGGTTGCAGTTACATAAAAAGTCATCGGCTCACCCATAATTTGACCGCAGATGAGTGTGAACTTCCCAGCTATCCCAAGTTTTACTTAGCCCTCCAGATGTATGCAAGATCGGCATAGAGAAGACCCGAAGAATGCCTAAGTAGCATGACTTGTCATCAACACATACTGAGAACCATGGGAGCCCCAGAGAGAACCCATGTGAGACCTATGAGCCTGAGGTGAACCCAAGTGGATATTTGAAATCGCCACTTACGCAGAAATTTGTTAGTTAACCAGTGAGCCACACACACCTTCTTCGAGGGGGAGAGTCACTTTGGATGGAATTCTTCGTCAAATTCAAGCAAGACTTGAAAAAATGGATATTGACATCCACGGTGACATTTGATGTAGTTCTGAGAATCTCCGGTAAGAGACGTACATTCCTTATATACCGTTTTGCCCAACAGTGACGACAGCTCCCTTTCACTCCTTTATAAGTTTTTCTGAGCCTGTGGAACTTTAAAATGAGTTATATCAGGATTCTCTTGGTAAGCGTTTAGTCTAGGAAACTTGTGGGGCTTACGTCAAACTGTTCTGACATGGTTTCGTCTAATGAATAACTAGGCCAGTCTTTCTGGACTACAGAAAAATATTGTTCATAGTTAAGCTGTTTGTAGAGAGTCAACCGGGAGATTTCGACAATTTTTATTATAGTGAAATGCTTCCCGTTATGTCATCACCTTAACAGTTAGACTAAATAAAAATCACTTCCTTGCTCTGTGTAATTGCATCTGGATTTTTGTATTCTTGCTGTAATTTCTAATGAAACTTTGTCGGAAACCATTTTCTTTCAGGAATTTAGCAGGCAACGTGAATTCGCCGTCTAATTTATCTGCCGAACATGTTCGTATTGTCCTTCAGAGTAACATCTTCAGCGTTCATTTAATGCCAGGAATTACAAGGGGCATCAAAAGTAGTCTGTCTACTCTGAACATCCTTCTCATTAGTGCAGTCTAAATTTGCCCTCGCAACTACTGGAGTAGCTGCACTGGGAGGACAGACAGAAGGGATTACGCCAGATTCCCTAGGTATCTGTTAAAAAGGTTTCGACTAAAAGAAACCAATCGTTCGATGGGCCCAGGATGCCAAGTGGAAGATTTGCAACAACTGAGGTAATTAACAAACAAAACGTCTAAAACTGGCTGTGTGCGTAGAAGAAATCCATCGTGGGAAATTAATTACTCTGATAACTCTTCGTCCGTTGACTCCATCACTTTGTTTCACCACCCCAACCCAAAATTATCACTTTACTTTCATATTAGACTTAACCATTGATCCATTGAATTCTGATCGCAGTATTACATTATCACCCTTTCCTGCATCCCCAACTTTGCTCACAACAATCTCAGTTTCATAATCTTATAGGTCTTAACCAAAGTATTTCGCTTTCTAATTACTCAATTATCACTGACTCATCACCACTCATCGACCGTTTTACAGGTAATTTCGCTTTTATAATATATATATATGCACTAATAGTCTGAGTTACCTTATTATTTTTGTCTTGCTTCACTACGACTTACTTGCATCAATCCTTACTGGAGAGGTGATTATTAACAAAATGTATGTTAAAACTGTATTACCAGTGGATTTGTTAAGTAATGCAGATTGTACATAGCTAGCAGGAACCGGAGGAACAAAGGGGATTCATATCAGGAATACACGTGTACTTTTTGTGTTGTGAATCGCCGTTCACATTCAGTAAAATTAATTTTATAGAATGAACAGCGTCCTCTCCGAATACGACATGCTTTCTCCTCTCTAACTGGAAAACACATCCCTTAAGGGGGCCCGATCTTCCCAGCCTTTGAATCTAACTCAACTATTACGTCCACACTGAATATTTGTGTCGCAAGTCTAGCTGTCTCGAACTACCGTCAAAGCCTCAGGTGCTACATTTTTAGCAGCATCCTCCTCACTAGATCAGACAAACAAGACTTGTTGGACTGCTACTTGATTGCTGTGAAGCTGAACAACCTCAAATTTCTGGATAAAGTCAAAATCATATTCCCTAAACTTTATCAGACTTTCTGCTCATATTCTGTTGGGAGGACACTCCACTGCAATTTCTTTTCTCGTTATTTAATCGAATCTAATTATTACAGGTTATACCAAAGTTGGATCTGTTCTTATGAAGAGCCTTATGACACCATATTCCGTAGTGACTGGGGTTCAAACTGAAGGAAGAAGTAATCCAGCGGAATTAACTCCAACCCGCATTCCGATGCTTAAGACCCAAGTATTATTATTATAAAAGTGCAGGTATTGTCGAGGATCTTCATCTTACAGTCACCACTCACCTATGGACCTCATCTCCGCTGGTGGTTCTACGCTTTGTTCAACAGACGCCCAAAGTTATGGTGCCTGACATAATAGAGGAAATGAATATTAACGCGGTTCAAAGTAAAAATGGTTTACTAATATTTCAGAAATCCGTAACGAATTTAAAGAACATGTCTAACCACATTACACCTTTTGCTGAGTTATGTGACCCATCACATGACATTTGTCTAGAATCACTTCTCAAATCTGAGCGCTTACTCAACTATATGGTTGCATTGGCTGTCAAGAGGATCATGTCTTCGTATATTGTCTCTGCCTATAAAACTCCCGACGGACAGCCGAAGGCGAAGCTGAAAGATTCATGTCTAAATGCTTGAAATATGGCATTAACGGACTGTCAGGCCTAGTGTTTTTATGCGAAATCTGCAAACTACTCATTTCTAGTGCTTTCCAAGTTCAGGTATCTTGAAGAAGCCAGAAATCTTTTGCTGCGTGGTGAGATAACTGACTCTTCAACACCTTAGGGAAACATTGTGGTTGCACTGGTTCTAACACCGTACTAAAGACAATACCTCACAGGAAAACTAAATGGTGACAACTCTGATGGAACGACTATCAAAGACTTCTGACGCGATACGCCATCTAGTGATATACCTGATGACCAGGCACATCAGACACTTCTGCATGCACAGACAAATTTTAATCAATTAATATGTAAGGACACAGCTCTAGATAGTGAAATGGCAGATTCAGATAAGTCAACAGAAAATAATGCTGGAATAAATCCTTTGTACACTGACTCAAATACCAAGAGCCTGAAAACATCAAAACACACCTCACTTACATTGTCTTCCTATCCTCAGAAGTCATTTACTACTCATCCTCAAACTCCGTCTACCAAGAACCACAGGCCTCATGCAGCTACCCAAGCTGGCAAGCTTCCTAGGTGGCAGGATGAACGTCACATTTCTTTAAAGAAAACAAAATGGCCTATGTTGTCTGATCAACAGAAACCAACTGAAAAATTTGCTGCCTGAGCTGTTAGCAATCACCAGTCTGGAATACGTAAGCAAGGAAACACCGATGTACCTAAACTAAAGTCCAGAAACCCGTCACAAAAGCCCATTAAGATAATAGACAGGCACGGGTTCCTAGTCCATCGTACTAACAGAGAGTCAACTAAATTAGACTAGGCTTCTAAAAGTAGACTTAATCGGTCTTAAGTGGAGAATCAATTGTGTCCAACCACTACTCTTAGTCAAACAAGAAATAGAAATCTACATTTTTCCGCCTATTTTCAACGTAAGCCCTCTCCCAACTATCTCTTTATAAGTATCCCTTCGACTGCGTACACAGGAAAAACCCAGATGTCGGCTACGGATTACATTCAATTTGTAAAATAAAACAAAATAACCCATCCATACATCTCATATATTCAGTAAGGAACATGTACCAACCTACGCACGAAGTCTACCGTGGTCTAGTAACTAGCCCAGTCAGTTAACTAGACTTCATTCCTTTCCTGGCAACAAATTGCCGGATACCCATATCAGGCGTAGCTTTGAGAAACACACTGATTTAAGTGGCTGAGTTGAATATTTGTCAGTGTCAGTTAGCAGAAACACCTGGAATCGTATGATTTCGGACAAATTCACCGCTGGTATAACCACAGCTTCCATCTATGACACGGCATATTCCCATAAGATAGCTGACACACTATCGGCACGTAATGTGGACACTAATTTTCTTGATTATCACACATGTATCTCCCATGGTGAACCCCATCCAAATGATTAGCCACTCTTAACTTCCACCCCACAAGCCTACCCAGAGTTTTCTACTGGTCCAGTAATAGTGGTTGGTGAGCCTAAAAGCAACTTCATCTTTTCCCTTTGATAGTTATCAGAGGATATTTTATCGCTATGTTGCTCGTGAACTCAGACTATCTAGCCAGAGCCTATATGTTATCCTCATAAATACTAGATCAGTTTGAAACGAACATTTAACACCAAGAACATTAGCTCCCGTATGAAAACCGTCATTGGTCATGATCACTGAAGCCTGGTGCATGAATGAAAATGTAGGGGATTAAAGAAGTTCGTCAAATCAATCGAACCTTCAGCCACCAGTTTGTTTACCTGTGCAGACTGAAACGTAAGGTGGGCTACTGGGTTTCCAAAGAACAAGTGCTCAGCAGATTCGTT